GGGGGGGGTGGGACAGCCGCGCGGTGCCACCAGGGCCGGGAGGCCGGGTCCCGGCTGCCGCCCGAGCCTGGCTGGCCACGGGCGCCGCGACCGCACGACCTTCACTGGGAGCCTGGGAAGAAACAGCTCCCCTCCTGCCGGGGGCCAGAGTCCGCGGCCGCTGGGCCCCCGGGGCCATGGGAGAAAGTCCTGCTGGGGGGCGGGGGACAAGCGGGTCAGGGCCTCTGGACAGGTGTGGTGGCTTCAAGCAGTGAGGCGACGGGTGCAGGCGAGAGGGAGGGAGGCTTTCAGGGCAAGGGACGCAGGGCTCGGGCGCGGCGCCAGCGGCAGCTCCCGGAGCCAAGCTGCTCGGCAGCCGGGGAGGACGGCAGCCCGGGGAGGCGGCGGCGGCGGCGGCGCCCGGGGCCGCTGCTCGGCTCCCCGCGGCCCTGCCAGCCTCGGGCTCTTCCTCCCAGACCCCGCTCCCTCCTCTCTGCAGGCGTCAGCTCCCCGCACGGCCGAGAGGACGCGGGCCATGCGAGCAATCCTCACGGATCTGTTCAAAACGCCCGCATCTAATCCTGCAAATCCGGCAGAACGCTTTTCAATCCCAAACGGATCCTAAAGAGTTCCGCCCAACATAGGTCCCGGACCCGAGGCCCGAGCCATCACCCCAGAGAGACCGTCTCACGACGGCATTCTCCGTCGGTACCGTGAACGCTTGTCACGGTGATGTGCCGTGATGTGCCGTGATGTGCCGCTCTGTGACACACCAAAATCAAGCCGCCCCCCCCCTTGTTCGAGCAAGTGAGGCTCGAGAGTCAACGAAGTGTTACTAACTTCGGACATTTGCGGTTTTAAAAATTGCAGCGTGAAAGTACGATGGGGCGGGGAGAGAAAGGCTTTTAAAAAGCGTTAAGCTGATCATTCCAAGAACCCCTTCCACTGTCTTCATATGGAACAACTTCCCTTGTCCCCCGGCCCCCCGCACCCTCCCTGCCCCAGACCCCAGACCACACGTCTGCAATCGCAAGCCCGGCTAAGGCACTCTGTTCCTCCTGCCACCAAAAAGGTACCCAATGTGAGTTTGCATCAGCTCCCAACTTCTTGAAACATATGCTAACCTTCCCCGCTCCCCCCCCGAAAAAGAACCATACGTGGGTAAGTAGATAGCAATTATTTAATTTGCACAGGGAGCACGAGAATGGAGAGAATTTTCTTCAACCACCCACAAACACGGTTATTGTGCTAGCAAATATCCCAGCTGAATCCAGAGGCCGAACGAGGGGAGACAAACGAGCAGCTGCCCAGTACTCACCGCGGCTCTTCCACTAGCTGAACGGTCCTAGACTCCCACTTTGGGTCCCATTCCCGGTTTTTTTTATACAAACACATGTCCGAGTTGTTTGGATCCCGTTGCCACAGACAACCAAATAGCAGAGAGTGAGCTAAGGAAACCACACCCTGCGTCTCGGAGCCCGCCTCGGCCAAGGCTGGTGAACTCTCACTCAGAACTGGGTGCATTTCAGAAGCTGGCCTCCAAACAAAGCAGATCGCACCATGGACGGGCAGAATGTTCTGGGCCAGCTGCAGCCCCTGCTCAGGCTGGCCCTTGCACAGACCGCCTCATCCCCAGGGAGTGAACGACTGAAAGCGAGTGGGTGGCATTCCTGGGCAAAGACAGTTGCCCGAGACGCTTGTGCCAAGTCATCGAGACCAGAGAATGGTCCTTAGTGGCACTTTCTCCCCCAAAACAAAACCGGGATGTTCCCTTACGTAATCGGGTTAGAGAGGAAAAGGAGAAACACAGTTGAGACCAAGGTCTATGTCCCTGAACGGCGCACTGTTTACCGAAGGCAGCTTTTAAAGAGCCATTAGCCTCTGTGCAGACAGAAAACAGTGCCTGTCACAGGGAGAGCAGCTGAAAATCACTCTCCTCCACTCATTCTTGCTGGTCTTTCACATGGCACATAAAATCCTCGTCTTACTAGCTTTTCCGTATGGAAATTGTGCCCTCAACAAAGATCTGCTTTCTTGTTAAGAGCGGAGTAGAGAAACCAACTAAATCTCCAGTAACAGTAAATGCCAGGAAATTCAATTATCAGTGGCTCCTAAAGGCCATTTGGCAGGAAATCAGCATTTGTAAGATTAGACAGCACTGGCTTCCTGCGTGGCGAGTAATCATGGCTGCCTTAGCCCTTCAGAGACTATCTTCCTGGACCACACTGGCACATCCCTCCTCCTCCCTCACCAAAGTCTCTATTTAGAATCGAACTTGGAGCCTTACTCCTTTTCCTATCACTCTTTTGACGTCTTCCGAGGAGGAAATGGCCTCCAAATGTTTCTACGCGGAAGCACCATGCAGAGCTCCGCCTGACGGGGGTCCCGTCTCTCCCGGCTTTATGGCCCGAGTGCAGGTTCAGTGTCGAACCACCACCAGCAAGAAAGCACAGGGCGGTGCGCTCAGGTACGCGGAGCTTCGGGGAGAAGGAAAACCACTGCGGGTTCACGGTACCAGAGAGATCTCACCTGCCAAGCCCTTCTCACTTTAAAACCACGTACTTTGAAACCGTCCCTGTACCAATGCCAAGTTCTTCCCTGGTTACTTTCATGGTTCTAGAACACGACTCGCTCGGAGTTTCTACGCGTCCAGCTGGTGAAATAATCCACGGCTCCCCAGCTGAACACGCCAGCCCCAGAGTGTGTTGCAAATGGAGTCCTGTCAATGCTGCTGCTCACCACGCTCTTGGTCCCTTTAGGACAGGGTCCTGAACCGAGCCAAAGGAAGCTTTAACAAGTCACCCCGAATTAATGGTGCCGCTGTGGAGAGTCCTACGTCTTAGAGTTTTCGAGTCCTGGCTTTTAGGCATCATTACTTTTTCTTTCTGTAGCATGAAAACCCGGGGTCATCTTCTATCCCCCTGCGCTGCACACTTAAACCCAGAGTCTGCACCCACATGGCCAGATTTCAAAGGGCATATCCTCTTAAGAGCTGGTTTCCACAGTTGACTCAAGCCTTTTTCGTGTGTGTGTGTGTGTGTGTGTGTGTGTGTGTGTGTGTAGAAACACGTAGTTGTCAAGATAAAACAGGCACTTCTAGGAACGTTGGCTTTTATTGCCTAATAAGTAAACAGGCTGCAAACACTGAAAGCATGTTAACAATGCCGATGTCAAATTCATGAACTTTAGTACTTTTTTTTTTTTTTTTTTTGCAACGATTCCAATGAAGTCGAGCTCCAGGGTAACCTGAATTGGCTTACCTCATGTTTTTCTAAACTTAGGATTCCTGGGTCCCCAACGGTTTGGAGCCTTCACGGCAGCGTGCTCAGGAGGAAGCTGCCGTGGAACATTCCTGCTGACGAGACCGCTCCCGTGTCAGAACTCGGCGTGAAGCACGACCGGGTACGGGGCGGGGGGGGGGGTGGGGGGGAACCAAGGCATCCTGTTCCCGCTCATCTTCGGAGCGGCTAACGACTCTGAGAAAGCAGCCCGCCGGTGACAATGCACAGAGGTTCCCCAAAGCCAAAGCCAGCGCTCTGGTGTGGGGGCTCCAGGAAAACGAGCCACAGGGAACCTTGGACTTCACCAGAGAGAAACGCTTGGTGCCTCCCTTTGTTTCCCCTTTGTTAGAAATCACAGAACGGACAGAAATGAAGATACCGTTCTACCTCTTCTTCGGGGCTCTCCTTAATCTTACTGCATTAGCATATACTTAAGACGTTTCTCTCTTAGGGGATACTTTTTTTTTTTTTTTTCCCCCTTATCCCCTTACCCAGTTCTAAGGACGTGAAATCTGAAGCCTTCTAACCTCCCCAAACTTCCAGATCTGCCTCCCCCGACCTGCTGTCGTTATCTGGGAAAGGGCGCCTCATCAGTCATCACACGGGCACAGGATACAAAGCGACTTCCCTCCCTGCAGCCCTCTGCCCGCCCCTGCCCTCCGGCAGCTCCAGCTCGGGGACTAATCTTAGCCTCCGAGGTGTGACCCGCATCCGGAGGCAGGAATGAGGTTTCTCTAGCACAGAAGAAGTTTGCAAATACCCCAGGAGCCCCCGGGGGGGGGGCCTGGCTCGTGTCCCCTAGTCACACACTAGGGCTGTGGATGGACAGATTGGTGGGGGGGGAGGTAAGTCACCACCACTAAGCTCCTAAAACCTCTTTCGTTCAAAGCATTTTATAACACATATTTGTTTTTAAAAACCGGGGCACAGCTCCTGCCACCCTAAGGGACCACGATGTCCGACCCTCAGTCCTTTAGAGACGTAGTGGGTTCAAATGTGGCTGGAAGTGTGACTGGCTGATCGCATTTTAGAGATTGAGTCCAAGATGGTAGACTGACTTTCTTGCCGTGCCTGCTTCAAAAGACACATCATTCCTCACTTAGTAAGTAAGCTTCCTCTTTCAGAAAATTCCTGGACTACATCCAACATGCTAAGAGGTGCCCACATAAACCTCAGTATCTCAAAAAGAAGTTTTGGCTTTGATG